TTTGGTCGAGGTTGAACGATCGGTAAGGGTTTTGGCCGGTAATGAGCGATCGGTAAGGATTTTGACCGGGGTTTCTGTCCGTCCGGTACGCGATTTGGCCGAGAAATTCCTCCAAGCGGTTTTCACCATTTTTGACCCTTTTTTTTCATCGTTTTCTCCTCTGCTCCTCTTCTTAAGCTCCAAACGACTCCCAAAGCACCTGATAAAGACTTCAAAACATGCAAAACTCTTTGGGACCTAATGCAAGCCCTAAATCCTATTTTCATGCCTAAAGACACAATTTACATGGGAAAACACATGATGAGGACTCTAAAATGCTCTCTAAATGATGTAAAATATAGACATATCAATGTTAAACCGATTGACAAAGACGAATGATCGATGTTGAGACTCTCTCATAGTTCGTCACTCCCTTTCTTTCAACAGGTACATCATCACAGTGACCGTACGTAACTCCCTTTATTTCAACATGTACATGATCACAGTGACCTTTCATCATTCCTTCTCTCTTAGCAATGACATGATCACGGTGACCGTTCGTCACTCCTTCTCTCTTAGCAATGACATGATCACGGTGACCGTTCTTCACTCTTTTTCTCTTAGCAATGACATGATCACAGTGACCGTTCGTCATTCATTTTCTCTTAGCAGTGACATGACTGCAGCGACCGGATAGTGAATTAATTTCACCCAACAACTTGCCCCATACTCTTCAATTTCTTATTTAGAATTTGGAGAGTAACTTAAGTCTTTCTGTCCGCCGGTTGATGTGCGACAACATTTCTTGTTTATTCAAACCTTGTTTGGTTTTACCATATGTTGGTTCCATGGTCATTTCTTATTAGGATGGACAAGCAGATTTAATTAATAATGAATGGAGCTTCCATATCACATGAGGCAAATGTTCCATATGTACGGAGTGACAAACGTTGATGTACCTTCTCTTTCATTAACTGATGGTACATTATGACCTTGTAGGTCTAGTGTCGATGTTCAAAACTAAGCATTTTGTTGGTTCTTTCAGTTCATATGGCTGACCATCATCTTCCCAAATAGTACACAGCTTCTTTGCTGAAGGTCCGGCTCGTCCTTGGAAGGTTCATTGTTGGAAGATCATCATCATTAGTTACTCGGTGGTAAGTCATCATCATTGGTTTTTGCTTGATGTTGAGAGCTCTTCGTTGATCGTTGGGAGCTCATCATCGATTGTTGAGAGCTCGTTTTTGATCGTTGGGAGCCTGTTGTTGATCGTTAGGAGCTCGTCATTGATTGTTGGGAGCTTGTCCTTGATCGTTGGGACCTCGTCGTCGATTATTGGGAGGTCATCATTTGTAATTAAGATCGATCTAGAAAATCTTTGTGGGAGGTCGTCATTCTTAATTTCATTGTTATAAGGTTGACATGGGAGGTCGTCATGTGAGATCTCACTTTTCATTGTTCGTCGGTGTGAGATGATCGGTGAGAACTCATCATTGGAAGGATGTTAGGAGTGACGACCTGCGTTTTGGTTGCGCCTTGCGCTTTTGCAGTGACCTATCGTCTTTAAAGTCTCTGCTGGTCTATCTTTCTCTATCTCTTTTACTTATGTCACTTCTTTCTTTTTTGACTTTGCTCGTCGCTTCCCTCTCTTCTTCTTTTTATTGGGAGCTGTCACTCCCTTTTTTTTTTTTTTCGTTCCTTCTTCTCCTCTTCTAGACATACTGATGTGGTGTGTCGTGAGGGTATCAAGTTTTACCCTAAATGAAATCAATAGCCGCAAGTGCACAGCTGATCGATTATAGTACTTAGGGATCGAATCCACAGGGAAGGAGGATCTTTCCTACAAAAGCCTTCAAAAGAAATATGAAGTAAGGAAGTCTAGAACCAGGCGAGTTTTGTGAGGGTTTTGGTGGTGTGTTTAAAACTTAAAAACGAATTTTAAAGAGAAACTACGGGAATTAAAATGACCTAATAACTAAACTTAACGAAAACGGGTAAAAACGAGAAAAATGACTAACCTAATTGCTTAAATGAAAATCGATTGAAAGAGTAAAGATACTAGACTAAAGCTTGAATGAAAAACGGTGTAAATCTATAAGAAAGAGGGCGCTGGGGTTCAGGGAAGTTTTCTCAGGGGTACAAACGATTCAAAACATTGCTAGAGAGTAAATTTGATAAGATCTTAGCTTAAACTTTTCGAACTGGAGTCACGGACGTATGAATACACCACTGTCGTGATCATAGACAACTATCTCTCTCAACCCTGACCAGTAGGTTTCCACTCTGGCCCTGGAAAAGAAGAGATGCATTCACAAATCGCCCATAGATAGGTTTCCACTCCTATGTTTGTTTTGCTCTCCCAAACTAGATCTGACACCGAATGAACACTTTCGTGTCACCAAGCATCTGGATCAGATTGTAGTTCATGACGCTACTCTCATGCAGTAAAAACGAATTCAGAAGAAAAAGTTCTAAGATTCGGCTCAAAAGCTCATGGAATCCTCATCGAAAATCCCTTAGACCCAACAATAAAACTACTCAGACATAATAAACGAAATCAAAAACATAGTATTAAAAAGTATAATAAAAACCAAAATTGAAAAAGAAAGAACAAGGGTTCAAGAGACAGATCTCTCTCCCTAAAACCTAAAAACAAAGCTTAAAGTAAAATTTCTGTAAAGTATTTCGTCTCTCTTCCTCTCTCTCTAAAAACGACCTAAATGACATGTATTTATAGTCTCCAATACTCTCTGGTGTCTAGGGTTACGGGATTGAGGCTGGGAAAATGATACGGGCTTGCCTTCAAAGTCGGAGTTAGCTGGCCGCGGTCGGGAAGTGCGTGACCGTGTGGAATGGGTGGCTGGCCGCGGTCGCGGTGGTTGTGACCGCGGGGAATGGCCTGTTGGCCGCGGGTGGAAACGCTTGCCGGCTAGTTTACGGGACATCTTGCTCTTCGCGTATCTTTTGATTGAACCGTTGGATTGCCAAGATGTAAAGTGTGCTGGAAAGCTGGTACTTCCATCTTTAAGATCTCCAAATTTGAGCTGGATCAGACGGTGAGAAGGCCTTCATCGGGGGTGAACTTCTGACGGTTTGACTCTGAGCTGAAATCTGGTTTTCTATCCATTTTGTTAAGTTTTTCACAAAGTTACCTGAAAAGAGTGTTGGAACTACAAATACTAGAAAAACGTAATAAAAGTACTTAAAAGCAATTAAAAACATAGAAAAAGTATTTCAAAACGATCCATAAAAGTGGTCAAAATACGGTGTTATCACATACCTCATGCCGTACCTTTGTTTCTTCTTTCTTTGTTTTCATGCTTTGTTTAGAAGTGAACGTCGTAACTTCTAAAGAGTCAATTCAATATTTGGTAAGCCATGTTGATTCTTTGTTAACATTTTTTACTCGTCATAAGCAGAGAAGGAGTATCGGGAGGTCGCTGTTAAATCATCCAAAAGTGATGGGAATACTCTGCTGGTATTTCCTGATTCGTTTGCAGGTTTTGGCTATTTTGCCCCCGACACTGACCCATGGTCGTATTCGGCCTTTTACATTTGAGGAGCCACCTTAATTTCTTATTTAAGGCATTTCCTAAACTTTATCTTTTGGAGCTCTATTGCTCGCGGCGTTTACTTTTGTTTATCTGGTTGGATGTGTCAATCCTTTCCTAAGCACTTGTCGTTCGTGAGTGATGCAACGTTTGTTGACATCTTTGTTTTACGTTTTGGATAATGACATTATCTAGGTGGTTTGTAACCGTTGTTTTCACTACCGTGGCTGGTGTATAACCATATGTTGTTTGCTTAATCGTGGGATCACGTCCCTCGTTCAGTGATGTATATCGCTTTTTAAATTAGTAACAGTAGCAAGTACGTTACTTTTTAGTGCTATTCCCTTAGGTTAGCTGTGACATTTACTGCAGTCATACCAGCGATTTTAGCTGTGGTTGCTGCTTGTCGCGAGGTTTTTCCCTCTTAGTTGTTCATTTGATTTTTGAGGAGGTTTTGGAACTCCTTTAATATTTAGTGACAGTAGTCATTTCTGGTTTTATGAGGTCATGCCTCTGAATTGTAATAGGGCGACAGCGTCACTCCCTTTCTTTTGTGTTTGTGAGGAACCGCCTCTTTCGAAGGTGACAACGTCACTCTTCTTTGTTTTTTTGTGAGGAATCACCTCTTTCGAAGGTGACAATGTCACTCTCTTTTTGTGAGAGATCTCCTCTTTCGAAGGTGACAACATCACTCTCTTTGTTTTTTTGTGAGGAATCGCTTCTTTTGAAGGTGACAATGTCACTCTATTTTTTGTGAGAAATTGCCTCTTTCGAAGGTGACATCGTCAGTCTTTTTTTGTGTGAGGAATCAACTTTTTAGAGAGTGTCTTTTTTTTTATGAGGAATCACCTCTTGCACCCTCTATAGGTTGTTATCAATATTTTTTGAAGGACTTACCTTTCTTTTCATGACCATGGTCAGTTCGTATGCGTGCAGTGATGCTCTTAAATAGTTAATTAGGCGACAATCGTCACTCTCTTTAAGACAGTGCCTTCTAGTTTATTTGTGTGTTGTTTGTCACTCGTCATAATTTGTATCGAAGATCTCTCTCTTTTATGTGGCATTGTGAATGACGAACATAGATTTGAGGACTTTTAAAACTCATTTGTTTAAAGTTTCTTTATTAAAATGTATATCCGTATATATGAAATAGAATATCCAAAGCCAAAGGTAGTGACATCTCAGGGATCGTCAAAAAATGCAAAAAGCAACTAACGATGAAAAGCCAAAGGTATAAAAAATATAACTGAAGCAAAACGAACCGACCTTGAAGTAATAAGTTGAGATGTAGGGCACACAGCTGTTGAGCAGATTTTTTTTGCATTCTTTATCCTGCAGTTTATACGTGCCTGATCCACATACCTTCGTTATTTAATACGGACCTTCCTAAGAGCTTATGTCGTACATCTGTTGGCAGCTTTGAACAACTTATTAGGATCGCCTTCTATTAGTTGAATCTCATCGAGTTGCTTAATATCTGGTTCTTCCATTAGTTGAACCTCGTCGAGTTGCTGAATATATGGTTTCCATTGTGTTGATTGGTCGATGTGTACTTCTGTTGTCGCTTCTCATACATTTATTGTCACTGTGAGGTCTTTGATATGGCTTATCATCTCTCGTCGTTCTTTCGTTCCTTGTTACACGTGAGTCAGAACGTTGGGAGGGTTGCTGATGGTAAGCAGGATCTTCCTCCCCTCTAATCTGAGCCCATGCTCTAGATAGCACGTCTTCCATTATTTTGCATTGATACTTTGTCAGTTCCTTATATCGATCACTGTTTTGGAGCAAGCCTCTTTTGAATGCTGAGATCGCAGTGGACGTAACACACTCTGGTATACACACTTTTTCTTTGTTGAATCGTCCCACATAACTACGTAAAGACTCACCTCTCTTCTGTATGATCTCGTAAAGATTGTCAGAAGTCCTTTCCGAGTTCCTACTACTTGCAAATTGCTCAACAAAACGGTTTGTCAGTGACGCAAAAGAGTCAACTGAAGCATTTGGTAGGTTTGTAAACCATTGGAGGGCTGGTTCTGTAAGACTCGAACCGAATCCTTTGCACATGGTAGCTTCGCAAAGTTCTTTTGCAACTACTGTGGTAAACATCCGTTGCTTGTGGTTATCTGGGTCTGTCGTTCCGTCATACACTTTTATGGAAGGAAGCGTGAATTTCCTTGGCATCTCTGTCAATGTGATCGCGTCTGTAAAGGGGGTATCTGCATAGGAGTTAGGAGCACTTTTCGTGATTGGAGGAGCCACACCGGAAAATCGTGCAATTGAGATCTCCATAGCTTCCAAAAGTTTTGAGAAATCATCTGCCCCCGTAGCTGTCATTCCTAGACTTCAATTATGTTGTGTTGGTCTGTTGTCTGTAGGTACGAGAGGATCGTCCAACGGAAACATAGGGGGGACACGAGCTCGATATCTTGCATGAACGTCGGCTGCAGTGCTTCCATCACCTACCATAGAAGCATTCACCTCCTTCAAAGAAGCGTTTTCTGCTTCAAGTTGTGCGAGTCGTTCTTCATTCTGCTTCATCTGGGCGGTGAGTGCCTCTAGTTGAGCAGCATAATTGTTAGGGGTGTTATTTCCATCGTTATCCCCTTCCGTCATGTCTCACGTAGTCAAAACTTCCCCTCCTTCTAGCACTAAGCTGTTTGGGAATATTTTAACCAGTTCGTACGTGAATAGTTCTACGGAATGACGAGAAGGAGTAAACTTTTATTAATCAACGAATATCGAGTTTCAATGAATCAATATCGAAGATCTAAATAATCTGGTATCGTCTGTCGCTCGCTATTCGTCATTGATTGGCGAAGAACGAAGCTACGAAGAGGTCTGGTCGCTCGATTTGTCGTTGTCGTACCTAGTTATTAAAGTAGAGCTTTTAGGGCTTTTAGCGGTAAGTGTTTGTCTGTCCGTCTTTTTTCCATGAGTTCTCTATTTATAGGTTTATGTTAATCCTTATCTAAATTGGATATGGCTTCGTATATCGGTCTCTCTATAATTCTCTTTGAATTCGGAGCTTATGTTGGTCGGTCGCTCCAACTCTTTCTTGATTCTTGGTTTACTCAAGAATGTAAACCAATGACTTATATTTAACCAATGGTCGATGCTAAACTGAAGACGAATGGTCGATGTTGAGATTCTCTCATAATACGTCACTCCCTTTCTTTTAACAGGTACATAATCACAGTGACCGTTCGTCACTCCCTTTCTTTCAACAGGTACATGATCACAAAGACCGTTCGTCACTCCTCTATTAGCAATGGCATGATCACAATGACCGTTCGTCACTCCTTTTCTCCAACAGAATAATAAAATTTGCATCCATAGAAGTAAAAGGTAGGATTGAATCATAAGCTCTTATATATCGAAGAAACAAATGCTCACTTAAAAGCTTAACTAATAATGGTAGAGGCGCACGAGGAGTAGGGAGTAAAACACGACATTGTTTGCAACAAATTGAGAACAATGGTCATTTACTAATTGCATCTGTTTCAGTGACCAAACCCAAGCATTACAATCGAGACATTGCATTAAGTTATTATTTAGTTTCCTTTTTCGTGGTCTTCATCTTTTTCTTTTAAATTTTTAACATTATTAGTTATGATATATTAAAAAAAACATTTATGATATTATGACTAGCAATAGAAATACTCATTATTCCAACTTTTTTTTGAGATAATGCTATTCTTTGATATTGGTTAAAAATCACCATCTATTCAAAAATAATTTTTAATTAATATATGTAAATTAACATTCCAAAAGTTTATTTTTTTAAAAATATATTTAATTTAAGTGACGTATTGTTAATCGAAGATTCTTGTTGGGAGAAACTTTCTAATTCTATTGAATTTACGATATTCATTGATTTTTTTATACTTTTCTGCAAGCAAAATCTTTTTTAAAAATATATTATATCAATTTCATATTAAACTTTCATCAAAGAATAAAGAATAAATCAATCATCAAATGAAGAAATCAGAAAACTAAATTCCACTCCTATATAGTCTGAAAAGCCTTTTTCCTAGCCACTATCAGAATCTTCGGAAGGATCCTCTTTTTCGGAAGGGCTGCTGTCAAAAGAGAGCACAATCACTTCGGACAGGTTGCTAACAAACTTGGAATTCCTCATTATTGCACCCAAGGTATCTGCTGTGTTTAAGCCCTCCATTGCCGTCCTGGCTCGCAGTTCTAGACGAAGGCCCTCAAAGAATTGGCGAACAAGTCTAGTGCTGTACTCACTCACATGAGCCTCTCTGATCCTGAAGAAGTGGTTCTGGTACTCCTTTAGTGCCTCATTCTCACGCTGGATCCATCCCGCCATGGCTCCATTCTTTGGTGAAGGCTTCCCTGGTTCATCCCGGAGGCACCGGCAACACGCACCATGATCCACTCTAAGGTACCTCTTGTGACGGCGAGCTGGCCTGGAAGGGAAGGTCATCTTTCGGGTGGGAACCAGCTTTGTGTGGTAGAACCTTCGAAGCCAAAAAGAATGAACAATCAAGAAAAGACAAAAAAAAAGAAAAAAAAGTAAAGAAAAAAAAAAGAAAAGAACAAGGAATAGAACAATCAAAAAATAAAAAGAAGGATCAGTCAAGAAATTAAAGAAAAGAAGAAGACAATCAAGAAAGGAAGAATTCTGACTGAAAATTCATTAAATCTATTGTTGCTATCAATTTTAAAATCAAATCTCTAAGATGGTCCAATTCTTTTATTTTTTTTTTTTAATTTTGAAAAAGAACCACAAAAATTTGGAATTTTTTTTTTTTTGAAAACTTTTTTTTTTGAAGCCATCAAAACTGTTGGCCTAACCTCCTAGGACAGAACTAAGACGTCTACCTGAGCTCTGATACCACTTTGTAAAAGACCAAACCCCGAGGTCTCCTGGGATAACCGAGAGTAGCTTGTTAGGTCGATGGTCTAACCTCTATTGGTTAGCCACCTGGTTTAGTCCAGTGGTGAGCAAATCTGCCAGGATCGAAAACACCCGTGTAGCAACACCCGTGTACAAGATCCAGTGCTAACCTGAAAAGGAAAAGGAGGGGTGAGTAATTTGGATTACCCAGTGCTGTGAACCTTAGGAGATTCATTTTCACTTCCAACATATTATAACATAGAGATTAAAAAGAGACTAATCTTAAAACAAGCTCAAGCAGGACTCAATCCTAGACTTCTAGACATTAAGACACAAAAACAATCATCCGGTTAACTAAGTCCAACTGTACATCAATTTGCCCTTATCTCATCATCATGCTCAAGACATGGCAAACTTCTTCATGCTCAAGATATGGCAACCACCCGTCAATTCGTCTCATGCCCTGGGCATGGTATTATTCATCTTTTAAATTATTCAACAAACAATTTAATTTTCAAACAAGAGCAAAGCTCTACAGGATAGGATCCAGTCCTGCCTCCCTTCTTGGATAGGAGGAGCTTGGCTTGCCATCCGTGATAGGCTAAGCCTGACATATCACCGTTGGTCACATAGACAATATGTGGTTCGCCACAACCACCTAACGATGAGCTCTGCTGTTCCAACAGGCACCAGACAGTCCACCAACAAGAAATCTCGAATCTTATGACCGCCTGTATCGAGTACCTAACTTGATATACACACCAAGGTCATTTAATAATTCCTACCAAACAACTTTCTATGTTTTAAGACTTCAGACCAAAGATTACACAGCTTATCAATCATTTAACTTCTTTCTTTTTAACTCTTTTGAAATGATCTCTAACAGTTAGCTCATTACCAATCAATATCCAGCAATCATATCATCAACACAGACCATCATCAACACATCACAATCAAGCAGACAGCAGCTATGGTTTAAGAATAGACTAAACTACACCCTAGGTCATAATATGCAGGAGTTGGAAAGAAACAACTCTCACTTTTGCCTTTCTGAATGAAGATACCTTTCCACCTTTAATCATCTTCGAGTAGATTTGACATCCGACACAAAATCAGCCATAACTCTTCGGATCACTTCTTCGATCTGCACAAACTCGGTCTTCACAAAAGTCTGAGACTTGGGGCTTCAATCCGATAGGTAGCTCGTCTCGTAAATCCTCATGGTTTGTCGGATAATCGTCTTGCAAGTCGACGGCGTGGAAAGGGAAGGAGGAGGCCCAGAAAGAGAGGAGAGATGCAATTGAGAGATGAACGAGAAACAGCAGCAAGGAGAGAGGATTAGAATAATGATACGAGCATGGACCCAAGTAGTGACGAGGTGCGAACTGAGGTTCAGACCGGGAAGCCAGCTCAGGTCGGGAATCAAGGCCAAGTGGCCGACTTAAGTAAAGTCGAGGTTCAGGACGGGAAGCAAGACGAGGTGGCCGACCTAGATGAAGTCTTATCCGTGCCAACCGGTCCAATAACGCGGTCCCGAGCCAAGAAACTATCCATGGCCGTTTGGAGGTTAAGCACCGAGCTGATGGCCAAGAATGCGGATGCTACACTAACTGACCGAGCTGTAACGCTCTTGACCTACTCAGACGGTGTAGCTCCTTAATACTCTTTTTCCTTGCATCCGGGTTTGTCCCACTGGGTTTACCGGATGGGGTTTTAATGAGGTTAAGGGGCCACATCATTCTTATCCGAAGTTAGTCATTAGCCGTTACGATAAGCCAAACGATCACTCGCGAAAGGAGCCGAAGGGACATTTAAAGGGAGCCGAGTGGTCATTCAACTTATTTAATGCTTTCATTTAATTTTCTTGCCTTTTGCACTTCTATGCGACTCTATATAAAGAGCCAGACTCCCTTGTACTTATTCATTCACCTTTTTATCAATTTTATCGAGATTTTCTCTTGTTCTTTTCGAGTTTTTTCCTTTCTTAAGGTGGTTAGCCTTGAAAGTTTTATTTGGTTTATCGAATTCAATCCATAGGATTCGACGCAGCCTTCATTTACATCTTGTTTCGATTTCGTTCAAAGTAGTTTAGGGGCAACAGGATTTTCGAGATCAAGTCTCACGCCTGTTCATCCTTTACCCGCGAGATCTACACTTGGTGTTTTCCATCCCCTCGATCACTATCTGTTTCTCGCGAGCTGGGCCTAAGGACCTTCGAGATAACCTCTCACCCCTTAGCATCTCTCCGATCAAACCAACTTTGGCCGAGTTTATCAACCTCTACCCAAACGAGCAAGTGCAATTCCTAAGGAAATCGTATCAAGTGGTATCAGAGCCCACTTGCTTAATCGGTAGTGTTTATCTATCTCTTTAACTTCCGCCTTTTCACATCTTTTCTTTCTATTTACGTTATAAAAAAAAAAAGAAGTTCAAAAGTAAAAAAAAAAAAGGAAGTTCAAAAGTCAAAAAAAAAAGAAGAAAACCGTATTCTTTTCTATCTATGTTTTCTTATTCTTCTCCTTTCAAACATTTGATAAACCAAGGGAACCTAGAGGCAGTCATCGTGATTCGATTAACTCCTTTAGAACCAGAAGAAAATCTCTTGTGGGTTTGTGAGATTAATAAGAGAGTGAGTGAATCAAAAGAGAGAAACACTAGTAAAGATTTTTACTAACAAGTTTGTTCTTTTTTTTGCGAGGTACGTGCATGTCATCTGACTTTTCTCTGAGCGAGTGCGATTTCTACACATTCAGAGACGGTAACCACGTTCGCTGGTACACTCCCAAAGAAATGGAGGCCAAACTCAACCAGATCACCGAAATGATGGAGCGTATGAGTCAAAGGATGGATCGGCTTGAAGTTCAGCTAAGGCAAGAGGAGGCCAACGATCAAAACCGCGAGGAGCCAATGCATATCCGCCGGGATCGGAACTTTGAGCAAGAGATGGAGAATCCATTCTATGCGGATAATCACTCATCCGGAAGCAGCCGAGTCAGGCCGCAAGGCAACCGCGGTGCACACCGAGGCCGAGCTGGAGGAGACCGTGACCGAGGCAATATTTTTCCTGCCAGAAATTACCGACGTGAAGGAGGACAACCTCAGCGACCAGTCCATGAACGACGAGAAGCCGAACAGGCTCGAAGACGTAATGATAATGATCTAGGAGGCATGAAGCTACGGATTCCCCTTTTCTACGGGAAAAACGACCCAGATGCCTTCCTGGAATGGGAAAAGAAAGTGGATATTGTGTTCAATTTCCAGGACCTATCGGAGAGGAAGAAGATCAACTTGGCGACTTCTGAGTTCAATGGCGATGCCATAGACTGGTGGGACCAGATCGTGACCTGTCGCCATCGAAATGGAGAGCAGCCGGTGGAGACTTGGGATGAGATGGCCACCCTCATGCGACAGCGGTTCGTGCCATCCCACTATCATCGGGAGTTACATACCAAGCTTCGGAGACTCACGCAAGGAACCAAATCCGTGGAGGATTACCATCAAGAAATGGAGCTCTTAATGCTCAAGGCCGATATATTCGAGCCGGAGGACGCGACCATGGCCAGGTTTCTGAGTGGCTTGAACCGGGATTTGCAGGATCGTATGGAGTTACAAGAGTATAATGACATGGCCGAGATGTTACACAAGGCCATACTGGTGGAGCAACAGCTCAAACGAAAGGGTACCAATCGCTATACACCTGGAACCAGTTCGCGACCGACCTACCAAGACGACAAGGCAACCTACCCCTCGCGACCTAACAACCAACCGAGGACGGACACCAGACCGAACCAGAACACAGGCAAGGCCGAGGTCAACTCATCCAGGACGCGTGACATCGAATGCTTTAAGTGTCGGGGAAAATGACACTACGCCAACAAATGCCCAAATCAGCGGGCAATGCTTTTGCTCGATACCGGAGAGATTGTATCCGACCATGAGGAGGAGACCGAACCGGTCTTTGACGAGGAAGAGACCGAGGAGCGAGCTGTGTCAGGAGAGCTGCTAGTAGCTCGGCGCATTCTAATAGCACAAGAACGGATCAAGGAGGAAGATCAGAGGGAAAACTTGTTCCACACCCGGTGCTTGGTCCAAGGAAAGGTGTGCAGCTTGATAATCGATGGAGGGAGTTGCACCAACGTGGCCAGTACTAACATGGTCGACAAGCTGGGTTTGGAAACCCGTAAGTACCCTCACCCCTACAACTTACGGTGGCTCAACAACCAGAGGAAACTCAAGGTCACTAAGCAGGTCACCGTACCAATTGTCATCGGACGAGGTCGTCTGCGATATTCTACCCATGGAGGCCGGTCATTTACTTCTAGGACGGTCGTGGCAGTTCGACAAGAAGGAGATCTATGACGGTTTTTCAAACAAACATACCTTTGAGCACCAAGGCCGTAAGATCGTTCTAGCACCCTTGTCACCACACGAGGTCTATCTTGATCAGGTCAAATTGGAGCAAAACTCCAAAGGTAAAAACATTTTGAGCGATCCCCAAAACACTTTACACCAAAAAAGAGAGTCTGAGAAGAACCTAGAAATGGCCTGTGAGGGAAATCCCGTGAGTAAAGAATCTTTTCTTGTGAGGCCTAACAAGGTGAAATATGCCTTGGCTACAAAACAATCTTTTGTTCTACTCATCTTTAAAGACGCTTTGGCTAGTCATACTAACCCCGAGCCGGTCTTACCGAGCAGAATCTCTCATGTTTTGCAGTAGTTCGCCGAATCTTCCCGGAAGACGACCCAGGTGGTTTACCACCCATCCGAGGAATTGAGCACCAAATTGACTTTGTACCCGGAGCCACCCTTCCTAACCGACCAACCTACCGAACTAATCCAGTTGAAACCAAGGAGCTTCAAAGAGAGGTGGATGAGCTTCTGGCCAAGGGATATATTCGTGAGAGCATGAGTCCATGCGCCGTACCGGTCTTGCTCGTGCCTAAGAAGGACAAAACTTGGAGAATGTGTATTGATTGTCGGGCCATCAACAACATCACGGTTAAGTATCGCCATCCTATCCCTAGGCTAGATGACATGCTATATGAGCTGTATGGTGCATGCATATTTTCTAAAGTTGATTTAAAAAGCGGCTATCACCAGATTAGGATGAAAGAAGGTGATGAATGGAAAACGGCTTTTAAAACTAAGCATGGCCTTTACGAGTGGCTTGTCATGCCTTTTTGACTCACTAATGCACCTAGCACTTTCATGCGCTTGATGAATCACATTCTTAGGTCGTTCATAGGTGTTTTCGTGGTAGTTTACTTCGATGATATCTTGATTTACAGCAAGACCTTAGATGAACATGTGTTGCATTTGAAAAAGGTGTTAGAAGTGCTTAGGAAAGAACGTCTTTTAGGGAATCTTAAGAAATGTTCTTTTTGTACGGATAACATTGTTTTCCTAGGTTTTGTGGTGAGTTCGCAGGGAATCCAGGTCGATGAAGAAAAGATCAAAGCAGTCCGGGATTGGCCGAGCCGAAAGACTGTTAGTGAAGTCCGGAGCTTCCATGGACTAGCTGGGTTTTACCGTCGTTTTATCCGAGACTTCAGTACCATAGCCGCGCCTTTGACCGAGATCATTAAAAAGAAGGTCGGGTTCAAGTGGGAAAAACCGCAGGAGGAAGCCTTCCAACTCTTGAAACACAAACTCACCCATGCTCCATTGCTGGTGTTACCTGACTTTCTCAAAACGTTTGAGATCGAGTGTGATGCCTCGGGAGTTGGAATTGGAGCCGTGCTGATGCAAGAGAAGAAACCTGTGGCTTTCTTCAGTGAGAAGCTAGGTGGAGCAACCTTGAACTACCCGACCTACGACAAGGAATCATACGCCTTGGTCCGAGCCCTACAAACTTGGCAGCACTACCTGTGGCCCAAGGAGTTCGTCATCCACACAGACCACCAGTCGCTCAAGCACTTAAAGGGCCAGCAGAAGCTTAACAAGAGGCATGCCAGATGGATGGAATTCATCGAAACCTTTCCATATGTCATCCAGTACAAGCAGGGCAAAGAGAACATAGTGGCCGACGCGTTGTCTCGTCGATACACCTTGATCACCACTTTGGACGCTAATGTGCTGGGATTCGAAATGATAAAGGATGCCTACCTCACCGATCCAGACTTCCAGGAAGTCTACCGAGCCAGCTCGAAATTTGCCCACGATAAATATTACCAAAGTGATGGCTATCTCTTTTATGAAAACCGTTTATGCATACCTAACACATCTCTTCGCGATTTACTTGTTAGGGAAGCACATGGAGGTGGACTAATGGGGCATTTTGGAGTGGCTAAGACTCTGAACGTGGTGCAAGACCACTTCTTCTGGCCGCACCTAAGACGCAACGTGGAACGGATTTGTGGCTGATGCACAGTCTGCAAGATGGCCAAAACCCGAAGTCAAGGCCCAGGTATGTATACCCCACTTCCCATTCCTAGTGAGCCCTGGACCAATATTTCCATGGACTTTGTTGCCACGAACTAGGAGAGGTAGAGATTCGGTCTTTGTGGTCGTAGATAGATTTTCTAAAATGGCTCATTTCATTCCATGTCATAAGACCGATGATGCTTCGAATGTGGCCGACCTGTTCTTTAGGGAGATTGTCCGATTGCATGGGGTTCCTAGAACCATTGTTTCAGACCGGGACACTAAGTTCCTTAGCTATTTTTGGAAAACCCTTTGGTCGAAACTAGGAACTAAGTTGTGTTTCTCAACTACTTGTCACCCTCAAACTGATGAACAAACTGAAGTAGTTAATCGGACTTTATCAGCTCTGTTACGATCTGTGATTAAAAAGAATCTTAGAACTTGGGAAGATTGCTTGCCACACGTTGAATTTGCTTATAATCATTCGGTTCATTCAACTACCATGTTTTCCCCTTTTCAAATTGTGTATGGGTTTAATCCGCTTACTCCGCTTGATCTAACCCCTTTGCCTATGAGTGAAAGACTTAACATAGATGGCAAGAAAAAGGCCGAATTGGTCAAACAGATGCACGAGAAGGCCAAGAAAAACATTCAAAAGAAAACCGAGCAATTTCAAAGAAAAGCAAACAAAGGAAGAAGCAAACGAACGTTCGAGCCAGGCGACCAAGTATGGATTTATCTAAGGAAGGAACGTTTTCCTGAGGAACGGAAGTCCAAGCTCTTGCCCCGAGTAGATGGACCATTCACGGTTTTGAACCGCATCAACGACAATGCCTACCAGATCGACCTCCGAGGTAAGTACACGGTCAGCTCGAGTTTTAATATTTCTGACTTGGTTCCCTTTCTTCCAGATGGACCAGACTTGAGGACAAGTGCTTTTCAAGAGGGGGGGAATGATACGAGCATGGACCCGAGTAGTGACGAGGTGCGAACTGAGGTTCAGACCGGGAAGCCAGCTCAGGTCGGGAATCAAGGCCAAGTGGCCGACTTAAGTAAAGTCGAGGTTCAGGACGGGAAGCAAGACGAGGTGGCCGACCTAGATGAAGTCTTATCCGTGCCAACCGGTCCAATAACGAGGTCCCGAGCCAAGACATTATCCATGGCCGTTTGGAGGTTAAGCACCGAGCTGATGGCCAAGAATGCGGATGCTACACTAACTGACCGAGCTGTAACGCTCTTGACCTACTCTGACGGTGTAGCTCCTTAATACTCTTTTTCCTTGCATCCGGGTTTGTCCCACTAGGCTTACCGGATGGGATTTTAATGAGGTTAAGGGGCCACATCATTCTTATCCGAAGTTAGTCATTAGCCGTTACGAGAAGCCAAACGATCACTCGCGAAAGGAGCCGAAGGGACATTCAAAGGAAGCCGAGTGGTCATTCAACTTATTTAATGCTTTCATTTAATTTTCTTGCCTTTTGCACTTCTATGCGATTCTATATAAAGAGCCAGACTCCCTTGTACTTATTCATTCACCTTTTTATCAATTTTATCGAGATTTTCTCTTGTTCTTTTCGAGTTTTTCCTTTCTTAAGGTGGTTAGCCTTGAAAGTTTTATTTGGTTTATCGAATTCAATCCATAGGATTCGACGCAGCCTTCATTTACATCTTGTTTCGATTTCGTTCAAAGTAGTTTAGGGGCAACAGGATTTTCGAGATCAAGTCTCACGCCTGTTCATCCTTTACCCGCGAGATCTACACTTGGTGTTTTCCATCCCCTCGATCACTATCTGTTTCTCGCGAGCTGGGCCTAAGGACCTTCGAGATAACCTCTCACCCCTTAGCATCTCTCCGATCAAACCGACTTTGGCCGCGTTTATCAACCTCTACCCAAACGAGCAAGTGCAATTCCTAGGGAAATCGTATCAAATAAGATGCTCGCCATGGAGGAGAGAAGAAATGAGAGGATGAGAAGAAGAAACTCTGCAGTGGTAAAGAGGAGAAGAGAGGAAAGGAGGATGAATGTCGCTGGAGTGAAAAAAGAGAAAAGATTAGGGTTTCTGGAGATTAGAAGATTTATAAAGTAATTTTAATTGAGTTTTAATTGGGTTTTAGATAGGAAATTAGAAATCCATTAGAAAAAGGAAATTAAACCAATTCCTTAATGAGTTGGATTATTACAGTTTTATTTTGGTTTAAGAGGTATTAATCTAATGATACTAACCAGAAAGGAATCAAACCAGATTTTCTGATTGTCCAACTTATAATATAGCAAGATATGCTTAAATATTTGGTGTGCAGGTCATAAAAAGCTAAAATCTTAATCAAATCTGTTAAATTCTAGTTATTCACAGGGATATCTCAAGTTAAGTTGTTGGATTTCAAGTCAAGAGCCATCGACAGAAGCTTGGAAAGATACTCAGGCATAGATCCATTGATATGATTGTTCATAAAACCAAATGTTGAAAACTGATGTATATCCAACGATGACCTCCTTAATGTTACCAAAAAAGAAATGGGTACATCTAACAAAGATCTCCTCAATATTTTCTAAAAATTTAAATTTGAAACAAAATATATTACAATGATCGTTTGTATGTGTAATAGTATGAAGTCGTTTGTATATGCATGACTTCCTAAGGTGGTATACATAATGTATTTAGTTTTTTTTTTTTTCAGTAACCGCACCATACTTTTGTTATAATATAGTTGAAGAAAGACTAAAATTCGTTACGCATTGTGGTACATGAAACGTGCTTAACATTCAGGCATTTAATCATTATTGTACTTTGTAATCAATAATTTTCAATTGGTACAATTATTTTATACTAGAGGACTGACCGCGCTACGCGCAGTTTTGATTCACTGATTGTTAGAAATAGATTTTCTCGGTACTTTGTAGATATTCCTCTTACTTTTTGAACTCTTCTAGCAAGCAGAGTAAGCACCAATTCAGGAGTTATATGAAATCCAATTAATAAATTTGGACCACATATAAACACAACTTAATATACTTTTTATATTGGCCAGAAAGGGTTTAAAGTCAAGATCGGGTTACCTTAATCTCTCTAAATTTGTGTTGGTCATCATTAAACAAATTAAAAAATGAAATGTAGAACAACAAATTCATTGAGTCTATATTCGTTCTAACAGCTTCCTCATAGGCAACATCGATATCTTCAACCTGCTCATGCTGCAACGTATTGGAATCAGCTGAGAACTTCATAATCAGATTCCACTTTATCCAGTCCTTATCTGTCAAATAGCTTTTTTACACTTGAGATTTGAACCAAGTTATGTGTAGGATATCAGTATGTATCATTCTCTTGGACAGATAAGGACAAATGAAATGTACAACCTCTACAATTAATGCCTCGACAATATAACTTGTGGTTTTCCATGCGCTAGATCATGACCAATTTGTAGATAAGAAAATGTCCATCTTTCTTTTGCTTGAACCTGAAATATGAGATGTAGAATTCGATTTGATTATTAAGCGGTAGACTAACATGACAACTGTCTAAATTTCAGTCAATATGTATATATATCCACAATGATTTAAATTATGAAGCATTGACGATCGATGATATCTTAAATAAGCCAATTGCAGGGTCATGGTAATAACCTACTTATGGAATAGGTGAACGTTTAACGTAATTAAAATGATATATGATTCTATGAAAACGATTAAAAAATCAATTGGTGGAGAAGAGATGTTAATCCTCTATGTAGTCATAATTCCCAAAATATCCCGTACGGTCTTACCCATACTTTGTCTTTGGTTTTAGAAGCCAATATGAGAAGCATTTCAACCTCCTTGT